ATATATGTGTTGTGTATAAAAATTTAAAGCATTCTGTAGGCGTACATATACACCTAAACATATTTATAAATGAGACTCGTGTGGAGACTTTGTTTCTGTTTTCGTCATTAATAATGTGATGTATATTCATGCCATTGATCAATTCTAGTGATCCCTTTAATAGATAGCTTTACATTTGATATCTTACAACCGCCTTTGAAAATAATCCTTTCACTTAATGTACTTCCAGCAGCCAGCGCAACTGTTTTGCCCAATCACACATTTGACGGCTTTCGACGAGAAAATTAATTAATGAATGAATTTAATTAATGAATGCATTTACGTTCAATTTTGTGCTTTAAGGAAAGCAGCGAATTTCTGTAAATGTTAAAAGACAACGAGGGGGGAGAGAGAGAGAGAGAGCAGGAAAGAGGTACGGTTAAAAGCCATATCTATTCAGCAAAAAAAAAAACATGTAAATTATATGAAGCAGGTATCGGCGCAGGTTTAAATGAGTAAAAGGTTTCTATTGCACTTTCCTTCCACCATAAACACTTTTCGTATATTTCTCGCAACTGAAAATCGAGTGCATGTGTCTATGCGTTGTGTTGATAAAAAGTGATTTTTGAGAAATTTTTTTGCAAATGCTTTTTGTATTCTGCCCGCACTTACATCGACCAGGTCTCGGAGTATTCAAGAAATTCGAAAAATGAAACTTGCTTGGCTTCCCGAACTTCTTTAACGTTCAGTTATTACGTACAGAGCGGCCGATAGGATCAGGAATCTAATACTCGAAAGTTTTTATTATAATACTGTTAGTGGAACTTTTTTTTACGCTTTGGACGTGGAAAAAGATCACATTTTTTAATGATCAATTTTTAGAAAAGTTCGAACCTTTTTTAAGCCATTATTCCGCAGGTTTTTAGCAAAAAAAAAAAAATAAATGTAAAATATTCCACAAGAGGAAGAAGGTCACGAGCTTAAAAGAAAGCTGTTATGCATCTAAACGGTCTTTTCCACGGTTTCATATGTTGTCGCTCTCAAATCCAGTCATTTTTTTCCTCCCATCAATCAATTTTTCCGATTACCCAAAGGTCGCAATGGGGTACATGCAAGCAGGTGATGGATCATTTACCGGACTCTGACTGCTGTCAATAGACTTTAGTTCTTGATTCCATTGAACTTTGCAAGCATGAAGCTGCAAATCTGTTGTGAAGGTATGCAGTAGAGAGAGCTTCTCTAAATCGAACGGTTATTCTTGAACTCTTGGCAAAACTCTGACGAAATGCTTCGATCATTTTTTTTTTTTTCAATATAGTCAACCAGGTAGGGTATACCCATATATTTTTGACACGATTATGGTGCGAAAAGGATTGAGGAAGGAGAGAGAGCTATCGAGCAGACGGAGCGTAGTAACCCGCAAGTGCTATACTTTTAACGAAAGGAAGGGGTGTGGAATGACCGGAGCCTAGTAAATCGTAAATGCTATGCCTTTAAGGAGAGAAAAAGGAATTGACTGGCCGGAGCCTAGTAATGCGTAGGTATTATATTTTTGAAGAGAGAAACAAATATCGGCTGGACGAATGCGTATAACTCGTAGGTGCTACATCTTTAACCAAATGGAGAGATGTCGATTGATCGGAGCCTAGTAAACCGTATCTGCTATGCTTTTAACGATAGAGAGGGGTACTAAGCGGCCAGCAGTTACTACGCCTTTAACGAAAAAGCAAGAGAGAGAGAGACATACCGAGCCGCCAGAGCCTAGTAGCCAGCAGGTACTATGCCTTTAACGAGTAAGTAACTGGTCGGCGCTACGCCTTTAACGACTAAGCAGTCACTATAACTGCAATTAAGCATAGGATTAAATTGCACTGAAATTTGAGCTTGCGTGCACCGTCTGGGTAGGCGCGATACTTAGTTTGTGTGTTAGCAAAAACTAACAGTTGATAATCTTTGCTCTGACACTTTGATGCATGGTCGCAAGCTTTTTGGTCTATGATTGTACAACAAAGTTGTGCTGTTTTTTTGAAGAAGGCCGAGTGAAACTTAGAAAATTTACTCAAGAGACGATGACATCAAGAACGATGACATCCTTTTGCAGTTTCTAATTAACTGTCACACTGTTTGCCTAACTAAAGAGATTAACTTTAACCTTTATTGATCAATGGCATGATATTCCCTAAGCAACGTCACAGATACGTCATACATGTCATAAGATATTTTTCTTCTGTGTGGTTTGTGTGACTTAATGACTTGGTCTTACGATCTGGTTTCGATAATTTTAGAACAGAATAGCCGGACCAAGACAACCTTGCATAGTTAAATGATAGGTACAAGTAAGCACAAGTCGTTAATAAGATAAAGTAAGTTACGCTAAAGGTAAACAAACGTGAGCGAAAGAAGAGAATTTTCAAGTCAGACTTTTCGCCTTCTTCGGAATAACAAAATTGATGCAAAGCCAAAAAAGACAAAAAAAAAACCTATAACAGGAAAACACATTGTAAGAACGGAAGAAACTACGCCTGCTTCGATGAAAAGTCAAGCAATGCGATCGAAAGAGAGTCACCTGATAAATTCTCGTTCAGTAAAACCAAAAAACATGATTTCAAGTAGGACAGTAAACGTTAAGCTCAAGAGTTAAAGATAAAAGCTGAAGAGAAGATTGAATGCACAGAAGAATCTAAAGACTGAAATTTAATAGGCTTGCCAGGGTTCAAGTGCTTGAAATTCAATTCGGAGAAGGAGGTAAAAGGCCAACTCGTTATAAGATTGCCTTCAATTTAGTTGCGCTGGCTGGCTGAAGTAATCATACTGCAAACGAAGAGGCGGCATAAGTTGAAAATTATAAAATTAATTCGTTCCTTATATTTTTAGCACAGAATGCTTACAAATACAACACTTTTTTTAAATCTTGCGCCTTTTGCTTTACTGCACGAAATAGCATCGAAGATAAACAAAAAAAAAAAACAAATAAATGAAAAAAAAACAAAAACGAAAAAAAAATGAAAAAATGTATTATAAATAATAGAAAAATTGTGCCACGCGACAGCAATAACTTAACTGGCCGTGAGAAAAAAAAAAAAAAATAATAATAAAACCAAAAACAACAAACTCTACGATAACTATACCCGATGTTAACATAAAACTAAATCAATCTGCAAGCAAAAAAAAAAAAAAGGGAAAATGCTAAACAAAGCACACATTGGACAAACATACACAATATATATATATATATATATATATTTATATATATATATCTATACCTATATGAGGTATATGTATGTATGTCAGGGAATATTACATGGTAAACTATAAAAATATAGAGAGATTTATACGACGTTTGTACGGTGCACGAACACACGTGCATCCGCATCATTCAATGGATGAATGAATATATTTGAAAACAAACCACGATTGGATAGATGTGGCCGTGTTTCGCCAAACCAGGGTATTTCTTCTTAGCTTTACTTTGTTTTTCTCTTTTTTTTTCGGTTTTGTCTGCCTGTCTGCGAGTCTGTCTTTCATCTCTTTGTTTATATTGTAAAAAAAAAAAAGCGCAAAATTAAAAATAACACAAAAACACTTGTATTTTTGTGTCGTATTAAATATATTTGCCCCCGAAAACTATAGGAGGAAATCATTAAAGGAGAAAAAAAAAAAAAAAGAAAGAAACAGGCAACAGCATGAACATTCATGAAACCGTTAGCAAAGATATACATGCACACATACACAGTCACATGCCATTCATTTTACTTTGTGTTTAAAAAAAAAAAAAAAAAAAAAAAAAAAAAAAAACTAAGTAAATAAATAAATAAAAAGTATTTCTTGGCGCACAAGAGTAGTAAAAAAAAAAAAAAAAAAAAAATTGAATTTGTTTTGATGTCGGCGAATTTTTATTGGGTTTTGCGTTCTCGGCGCGAACGTAAAATTTCAAACAAACGTAATTTTTCATAAATGTTCAAAAAAAAAAAAACACACACGCACACAACTTATATTACAAATGAAAATAACAGAAAAAGCAAAAAGAACAACAAAGAAGAATATTTAGATGGATAAATGTATACGCGCGCGTTTATATATGTATAAATGTTCGTGTACGCGTTTGTTACTAATATTTATTTTGAATATAAGTAAGTCAGCTGTTGATTTGATAGAATATGCGAGGCGTTGATTGTAAGAGAATAAACAACAGCAGCAACAACAACAACTACACTATTAACCGATTTTATTAGAATGAAAAGCTTACGCCACTTAAGCGCACATAGCCATAGACAGGGGATAAAGGTACGTACATACGCACGTACATACAAATATAAATACACCACATGTGTTCATTAAAAGATATTGTGGCGTAATGTATACTATTCTATAAAAACCCAAATGACTATATGGTTAATGCATATACCAATAAACGCGCATACATGTGCTTATATATATATGTATATATATACATATATCATATATTTTGTTTTTTTTATATACGTATATAGGTCTGAATCTTTGTTTATAACCGCAATTGTTAATGTGTTTATTGCTGCCTTTCTGTCTTTGTGTTTGGGCATGCATGCGTTTGTGTATGTTTGTCTCTGTGTGCTTTGTTTTCTTTTCGAAATTATTCTGCCTTTAAATTTTTTACTGATACCCATACTGACTGAAACATATGCGTTTATTTACTTTTTAAAGGTTTAATAACCTTTCAATTCGTGACGTAATACGCTTTTAGAATTTGTACTTTTTTTTTTTATTTATTTATTTTTTTTTTTTTTTTTGTGTTTATTGTTGTGATAGGTAAGGTCGATCAAATAACGGCATTTTCAAAAGAATGCAATTGCATTTGAAAAGTGTACACACACACACCACCCGTATGTGTGTACGAGACAGAGAGAGATATTCATCATCATACATACGTGTGTTTACCACATATTTCGAACATATAAAATATAAAAAAATGAAAAAAAATTAACAAACAAATGTGAATATTTGTTGTTTATATGAAAGTTTTTTGTTGTTGGTTTGCTTACCGGTGGTGGTGTTCGATACTGTTGCGACGGACCCAACTGTGGACTATAGGGTCTGGGTGGAGGTGCCCAAACGCCCTGCTGAGCACCATAGGGAGCTTGATGCGGCGGCGGAGGTGGTCCGCTATGAGGTGGCGGTGGTGGTGGCCCACTTTGCGTTGGACCGCCAGGCTGTTGCTGTTGCGGCCCGCCGGCTCCTGTTTGTGGCGGTTGCTGTTGTTGCTGTTGAGGTGGTGGAGGCTGTTGTGGATGTTGCTGTGGATCATAACTATTCGTATACCGATGCTGAGGTGGTGGTGGCGGATGCGATGATTGCAGTAATGAATTCAACGTAGGCGTCGGACCCTGGGGCGGCTGACCAGGTATATATCGTTGTGGTGGTGGTCGACCTGGTGAAGATATTCCAGCTCCAGTTCCTGGCAACGATTGCTGCGGTTTACCACCGGGTGGTGGTGCCTGCTGTTGCAATGGAGCGTGTCCAGATCGATAAGGATCTATTGTAGGATCAGCATGATGATAGCGTCCATAAACCGGATGATGTCCACCGGGTGGCGGTGGTGGTGGCCCCCCCAAGCGGACTTTGCCCATAATCATCTTTATTCGGATGTTCAACCGTATTTGGTGGTGGGCCTCCAGGACCACCTTGTCCTGGATGCGGTGGCATATGCTGCGGGTGAGGTGGTTGCTGATGTAAATGATAGTGTGCCATAGCAACAGGGTCACCAGCACCGGGCGGTCCATAAGGATGTGGTATTGTCCCCTGCCCATCACCGCCATTATTTGGTACAGGTGGACCACTGCCTAAAGATGATGACGCTGATGTCGGACCACTTTGCGAATTGCCGCCAGAACCGCCACCACCTCCATTGCCTGCAGATGTTGGGCCGCCGCTATTCGCTGGGCCACCCTGCGCAGAGGGTGATTTAATTTTCTCATTCATTACACGTTTCGCTCAATTGTTCTGTCGGTTCTTTTAGTTGCAGCTGCAAACAATACAACTATTTGAGTAAAGCCTCCAACTTCGCTGCAACTTTATGTGTAAATTATCTGAAAAGAAAATTTCATAAGTTATTTTTTTTAAATTTCTCTAAACTTTAATTACAAAAATATAATTTCCAAATATTCTAATCACTCAGGGGTATATCAACACAATTCCAAACTTTGAGATTATTTAAGAAGAACAAGTGAAAGCACTATAGTGTAACATAGCCCACCATCAAATAACCTACACCATTTCGTGTAATACAGTAGTTGGAATAACGACTTTTCAAAATAAGTCTCCCTAAGGTCGAAAAAGTGGTCTGCCGTGAAAGATTTCAGCGTTCATCCTTGAACTAAAACGCGACAATTGAAAAGCGGGGACTTTTTGGTTAAACGCAAGAAAATAAGAGCGACAAACGGACAGACACGCTAAAATCAAATCGGAAGATGATTTTTAATCGATCTGAAAAAATGAAAAAATATCCTTGGATATCCTTAGGACTGAACTAATGTTCTCTCATAGGAACAGAGGAACTTTCAAAGTTAACATTCCCATGTTTTCAGGCAAAATGTGAATGAAGTCAAGAGTTCCTAAAAAGTTAAGACAACCATTTCTTAATCTTTTAAGAATCTTTTTTTCATTCTGAAGAAGCTTGGCGAAGGCGAATGCTGAGAATAATCCAAACAATAAATCTATGTGGTTCAAGTTCGATTCGGTTAGTCTCCAGGTCAAATTAATATTAAAGAACAATTTTTGACGATGACACATTAAAAATTAGGGGTCTTTGCCCTACGAAGACTTACTTTCCTTAATGTAGACTACATGGCAGGACGATTCAAAAAATAAGACTATCTGACTCAAATTTTTTAAAGCACTTTAGTTGGCCCAGACGATCTTTTGTAAACGACTTGTTCAAAATAAGTCATCATATGGGGAGCGATGAGTGAAAGATGATCCCAATATATATATCCATATATTTAAAGGGGGCTAAAACATGTCATCTGCAGCTTGAATAAAAAAGTCAAGGACAGAAAAGGGTTCATCGTTTCCGAAGTGTGATTCGGTGTGAAAAAAGGATGATCCACCTCAAGTCCTTCTAAGTATTACACATGGATTCTGGATCGCAAGTGATGTATAGTGGCAAGCCGTTGCATTGTTGTAAGGAATAATGCACTTCTTCCTATCGTAAGAAGCAGAAGACATATGAAGAATGTAATGCAATACTAGCGCCCTTCTACGGATAAAATTCCGAAGCTATTGTTTATAAATGTTTACCATTGCCTTCAAAATGTTCGCGTAAACTTGAACTTTTAAGAGAATTTGATGCTAAGAGACAAGAGCATATATATTCAATGGTGTAATTCTCTTATTACTGGATCTTAAATTTTCGATCTTGCCATTCTTTTCCATTCTCTTATTTGCATCGAATAATAAATCAGTCATTTTTCTTTAATTTCTGTTTTTCTTAGCCCTGCAAAGGCCCTCTTCTTCTTCTTCTTCTTAGATCTATCAAAAGTATATAGAATCAATTTAGCTATATTCGGCATTATGTTCTTGAATTGATATTACGATCACCATATGTTTAATTTTGTCCAAAAAAGGAAAGGTTCATCAAAGATTATTTCAATTATTTCTTTTAGAAAAAAAAATCTCTAAAGTCATATTATATAAGCCCACTCATTCCTAATAATAAAAGTGTTTTATTAAGTTCAACATTCTGTTACATGAAAGAAATGATTTGTAAATGCATCCAGCGAAACTATGCCGTCAAGCTTTGTATATAGTAAATAAAGAAGTAAAAGCACAATAGGGAGTCGACGCCCACCATAAATACTCTATACCATCCTACAGTTGTATTCATATAAGGATTTTCCAAAATAAGACATTATTATATGGGTAATAATCGAAAAAGTGTACTGGTCCTTGGGTCAAAACACACTCCAGAGTGTGAGAAGTTCCATCGAAAACTGCTAAAAATTTGTGGAGTGCAGGTTGAATAAAAGAAAAAATGACGGACAGACGGGCAGACAAGCTTAAATACGATACTAAATCACATTCGGTGACACAAAATCGGTATAATAAATGGCGGGACCATCGCAAGTCCGTATTTTTATCATAAACACAAAAATACCTGGGCAAACATCAGACGGACAAATGGACAGAACAGCTTAGATCGATGGACAAAATGATTTTTGCGACCTTAGTAAGAGCCTTACGTGTGCAACCGGGTGTGTGTCTATCACATTTAGATTTATGTAACCGCACCATTACTCCAATTGCGGCGTCACTATAAGCACAATGGGAACCTATGAGTTATGCTTACGTCAGATAGCTGAGGTAGATATTTCGTGAGATGATTGAGGGGTTCTAAATTTATGTTCACCGGCACTCCTAGGACGGTTACAACCAAAAGAAATTGCAGGTACTTGCCACTGATCGGACACACGGACAGACGAAACCTTAACCCAAGGAATGGGAATCCTATGTGTCCCTAGAGCTTTTTAATACCCACCCTGCCTGTTGGTCTCCCTTCGGCATTAAAAAAAAAAAAAGTTGGCGAGAATGATTCTGAATGAGTCGGTGTAGTAGAAGGTGGCCTCAAGGCCAAAACAATTTACACCAAAAAAAAAGGAACAAGACGTTGTGGCTGTTACGTACTTAATATAACTTTGTACCACAAGTAGTATAGAGAATAGATGCGGTAGCATTACTAGTGGACTCTGTAATTGAACAAAAATTCCTTCTCTTCAGATTACGACGATTTTCTTCATTGACTTATTATAAGGCATGGTTGGCAAATGCCTTTAAGATTCATCCGAAATAGAAATTAAAAAAAAAACATTTGATAAATGAACATGTGAACGAATGGGTCAACAGGTATCCCCTCATCCTAAAGCGCAATTCTACGCGCACTAACACTAATGAAAATAATTGCACAAATTCTCCTTAAATTAATAATAATGTTGCTTGAAAAATGAACTTAATATTATTAACTCTTTTTTACTTGAAGTTGCAAGGCCGATCTTTTTTTCTTTCTTTTTTCTTTTTTTTTTTTTAAATTACGAAAACCCAAGCTAAATTAAAAGGAAAGGTAGGAAAGAGTAATAAAATAAAGTTTCTTGCGAAAAGGGTGGACGGACAGACTAGCTAGATTAAAAGTATAAACAAAGTTTCGAACATTATTGTATATTAATAATGGATCTCATCCGTCGGTTGGTGCTATTTTGAAGATATTTATATATTCCATAAAAAATCTCAAGACTGGCATAGTTATAGATACTAATTTTTTTTTTTTTTTTTTTTTTAATTGCCAACACCCCGACCAATAGTGAATCTATAACAAATATACACAGCAGAAAAAACAAAAAAATCGCTTATGACAAAAAAAGTGAAAAAAAAAAACACAACTAATGTGTAAAAATGTAGAGAAACAGAAAACCCAACAACAAATTTTAAAATCAGCAATTGACAACGAACTAAAGACGATGTCTATATACATATGTGTATCTATGTGAACAGATACATATACACTCACGAGGAGCACAAATATACATATAAATATATATATATATTTATATATATATATGTATAGTAGACATTCGTATAAACATCGTTATATACGTAGGCATACATACACATAAGTAACAATAAACGAACGAATAGACATAGAAAACGTAAAATAACAGAGAAAATAGCAGTAGAAAATTGAACGAACTGAACTGAACTGAACTGAACGCTGAACTAAAACGAGGCAAAAACAACGCAGCAACATTAGCAAGCTACCACTAGAAACTATAAAAAATCAAACGTTATAAAAAAAAAACAGCAATAGAAAGGAAAATAAAAATATTTAAATATATACGTGTATGTGCGTGTGTGTTTATTTGTGTGTACATGATGTAGATACGAATGCGAACATAATCATCGTGCCATCGTATCAACAACATACCACACACTTATTTATGTACGTTTGTGTAGACATTCGCATGTGTTTGTGATTACACACTTTTTTTCCCTCTTCTATGTATGCGTTTGCTCTCTCTCCTCTCGGGTTTTATTTATTCATATCTCATGCTTACATTTTCCTATACGAAAATATAATATGTATGTTTGTATGTATGTATATAGAAGCGTATATATATACTGGTGCTTTATAGCCCGAACGAGGAAAGCAAGCAAATTAACGAATATGAAGAAGATACACATACACAAAACGAAATTCAATGGCAAAGCAAAAATAGAAAGAAATTAAAATCAGAAACAACGCATAAGAGAAAATAACCAATAACTGCTAGAGAGATACAAATGACACAAACCAAACTAAACGAAACACCGTACGTACCGTGTGTACGAAAACGGTGGACGGACGGACTGGCAAACCGACCCGTCGACTAAATGACAAAACGACCAACCCACCAATCGAATAACCGACAGATCGTCACACTAAACAATAACCAACGTTTAGAGAGTGTATAGAGATATATATTCGACTCTGTCGCACTCATTAAGCAAAGCCCGTTTTCAATGTTTTAAGCATTGCTGTAACATTCTCACTTGTATACTTTTCCACTTGTACCCCACATACACCACACTCTCCACGACCACATACTACAACTACGTTGAATACTGCTACTACTACTGCTGCTTCTGCTGCTGCTGCTTCTGGCATTTAATTTTTGTGCAACGCGAAAAACGACAATTTTTTAATGATTTTTTTTTTTCTGTTTCGTATTCCGTAATTTATATGTTGGAATACTTTGAAGTCTCTTTTCTCTTTTTACTTGTTTCTATCAACAAATACATTTAAGCACTTTATTATTTATTTATTTAGTTATTATTGTTATATATAAATTATTTTGTTTTTTTTATTTATTTATTTATTTATTATTTTTTTTGTATATTTCTAAGAAATTATTGTATCGTATTAACACAGCACTTTCAAAAGGTACAATTCCCGGACTTTTTACTTTGGATTTCACAAATGAAACTCATTTGCAGCAGCAACACAAACCGTCAGTAGTCAGTTAATACATAGTCAATTTTTCTTCTCTTCGGCTACGTTTTTCTTTCGTTTCATTTCGTACGTAAATTCGTCGTTAACAAATGTAACCCAGTGTTGCATTTTTATAATGTGCGGTAACCAAAGCATATACAAAAAAATTGAATTTTGCCAAGCAAAGTAAAAAAAAAAAAAAAAATAAAGCGAAACAAATAAAACAAACAAAAAATAAATATAAGAGGAAAAGAACACACAAAATAAATCAATATTATAATGATAAATTTAAATAAAATTTATATTTCATCTTTATTTAAAAGAAAGCATCCCGTAAAATTATATGCCGGCTGTGAGTAAATTCTCATAGCTAAACGCTATTTATCATCATCTAAGCAAAAGACACAGAAGTTGTTATAAACGAATGCATTTGTGTCTGTGCAGCGAACACATATTGCACCGAGTTAACCATTAGATAGAAAAATACAGTAAAATCCCCTCATAACAGTTACAATCGGGCTTATTAAGACCAAATAATTATAGGATTTTTCCAATTCAAAAGAAATATCTGTTTTCAGTACAGTTTCGGTCCGCTTAAGGGGGAATTTACAATACGAAAATCCAACTAATCCAAATTCGAACGTCGATTTTGCGATATGTGGCTTAGCTTATGATAGCATTTGTATATTTTTTTTGATCATCGTAAGATTCAGGTTTTAATAAAGGCTTCTTTCCTCTTGTAAAATCTGACTAATCTAAACCTGAAATCAGAAAGTCAATTTTGCCTTAGCTTATGGTAGCATCCATATAAATTTTTGATCATCGCCAGATTCAGGTTTTATTGAAGACTTCTTTCCTCCTAAAGAATGCAAGTATCCCAAACCGGAAATCGGAAAGTCAATATCTGACTTAGTTTATTGTAGCATCTATATATATTTTTAATCATCGTAAGATGAAGGTTTTAATCATGGAATAGAATCCTCGAGATGCAAAGATACATTCCTAGTCAATGGTCACGGACCAGTTGGGAAGGATGGTATCCATTCTCAACTCAATATTCGACATATGTTAAACGTACAACTTGGAACAGATATTTATCTACAACTCAATTCAAATATGTATTAAAGTTATTTTAATGTAAAATTAAAGAAATTGTCCTAAACAAAACCAAAAACGATTACAGTTGACTTGAGGTTTTACATTTAAAAATTTAGACAGGTATTTCATAGATAACATTAAGATGTTAGAACTGCTGACAATACAGAACTATTTTAATGGCCAATTTCTGCTATAGATAGATATATATACAAATATACAAGTCTATATATATATAAACATGCTTGAAAAGAGTAGTAGATAATATACTTACACATTCAGATCATCACTGCATAAAAATGACCGAAGTATTCGGCGAAAGGTGTCGAATGAATAGATATATTCACCAAAAACGAATGAAATAATGCACATGTAAAAATGTATGTTTGTATAAATGTATATCACACAAATTGCAATAATAATATAATAAGTAATAGGGAATTAAGAACGTGAGTTTAAAATGTATTTAGTAATTATATTTTATATCCGGTAATATTTATAACTTTACATATTTTTTATAGCACTTTACATTGTGAAGAGTTTCAAAAAAAAAATATAATCACTCAATATGCCTGAGAGACTCTCTGGGCTTTTTCTTTTCTTTTTTTTTTGCGTTTATTTCGTTTCTAGTTATGTTTTTGTTTTGCTTTGTTTTTGCATACTATATGATAATTGAAAAAAGACAATGCATATTTCAGCATTACTTTTGCATTAAAAAGAAAAGGATGACTCTATAAACACGCACACACGCATATCAGTAATATTGATATCGTAAATATTGCGATAGAGCGCAACGAGATATTTTTCGCCGTTTTCGCTTTTACATTAATCTATTACAATTTTTATGCCAAAATGTACAAATAGTCATCGAAAACTGCTGCCAATTGCTGTTGTTGTTTTTATATTGTTTAAAAATTAAAACAAAAAAAAAAGACCACACAAAACTCGTTCCGCGACCACTAATGCAAATGCCTCTTCTTTTTCTCTATATATTTTGAAAATATGTAATGTATCCAATCATAAATACTTTTTCTATTTGGGGTTTTTTTCCCTTGTTTTTTTCTTTTTTTTTTTTTGTTTAATATTTGCAATATACAGTTCTCTTCACTTCACAATTGTATATTTAAAGCTAATCCATTGAATTCATTTATTATTGATGGGCTATAAGGTTAAATAGACTGTGGGGCAGGATGGGTTGGGGAGTTTGCTTTTTCGGTGTGGCAGACCAACTTCTCTTGTGCTGACCAGAGCTTCGATGTTGCCTATCGTTTCGCTTTGTTCGGACGACGACGACAACGAATGTTCTAATGATGGATAATGACAACGTTGTTGGTGCGCTGGCTGGCCTCTGATGGTGGTGACAACGTTGTTCACAAGCAAGGAATGACGACGAATAGCATTTATTACTATATACAAAAAAAATAATACACACAATTTTCTGCATCCATACACTCATACGCACGCAATAGCTGTTATTTTACGTATTCTTATCGAACTTGCGTTCATTAATTTTTCTAATTGTAGTGTTTGCAATAACAAAATTATCATTTTTCACGTAAAAAATTAATTAATTTCATTAGGTATTTGAAAAATTCCTTCTTTTTTAACTTTATATTTCGGGCGTTTTTTTTTTTTTTTTTATCTCAGAGATTACACAATTTTCATGGATTTCGCCTTTTCCCAGCGAGAATCTCCTTTAGGAAAAAATAAAGAAAAATTGGGAAAAAAACGAGAAAATCAGACACACATGCACGAATCGCATAAACCCGTGCTCTATATATATATACCACGGGCTTGAAGCACCATCAACTCTTCTATTCTACTATTAGCTTTGCTTTGCTTTCGGGACACAACACGAATAAAAATTATGTTTGACAGTCTGCGACAGAAAAATTTCAACCTTTTTCAATGCAATTTTTTTGCGTATTCACTAGGCTTTTCGATGCGTAATAATGTTCAATTTTTTGCACCACACTATTCGCATATTTTCGAAACTTTTTTCTTACTTAATTTGCCGTATTTTATTTAGAATTTTTAATTAATTTTGCACATCGGCATGACTCCATTTTTATCGAAGCTTAAGTCCGGCCATTTTTTGTGAATTTTTGGAATCATGGCCGGTTATAAATTGCAGCCAACTTCATTCATCATAATCTGCAACAGACATCACTGATAATTAACACCGAATTATGGCAACTCTGAAGTTGCTTATATTTAAAGATAATAAAACAGATTTAAAAAAAATGTACATTATTGCAAATAAATATTAAAAAAAAAATTATTATAAATGCATTCTTTATTAAATTTTCTTTTTAAATTTTGCATAATTCCGCAATATTCCAATGAAAGTAAAATTATCCAAAAATAATTAAATATTCTTGAAGTCTGGCAATCTTTACTTTAAAGAAAGAAAATTATTTCATTATTTCACTTAACGCAGTTTAAGTTTAGTCATATATTTATTTATTTTGCGTGACTGAATCTATAAACAAAAAAAATGTATCAAGAATATTTAAATCAATTACATGTCTCAATATTCCCTCTTACCACAGAAGAACTTCGATTACTACTTAACGATGATGAAAAACTTGAAGAAAAAGTGGACGAGGTTTTAGAAAACTTAAAGGCGCAAAAGGATGGTTTATTTGAAGAAAATCGAGAAAAAGCTGAACGAAATATTGAAAAGGAACCAGAAATCATTGAATTAAAGGGTAAATTAGCAGAACTTACTGAAAGGGGTAAACTATGTTGTGAAGCTGTGCAAGAGAAATTAGCCGCAATTAAAGATAAATCAGGTAACATTAGTCAGGAGACTGCCTTAGCCTTACTGCAAACTGCTGCCGCCGAAAGTGAAGAGGCTTCGGAGAATTTAGTTAAAAAATTCACTGACAATGAATTGACTGTCGACAGTTTTTTGGAAGAGTTCTTAAATGCACGAAAAATCATGCATTTACGTAAACTGAAAGCCGAGAAAATGCAAGAACTTATGAGGCGTCAAGCATTGGGTACTTCAAATCCGACATCACGCGGTGTAGGTTATGGTAATGTACCCGCCTCCAACTTTTATTTACCGCCCCATCCACCTACGCAGTTCGGCGGAGGAACCCCTTATCCTCTAGGTCCAATGATGCCAATGCCGCCACCTCGACCATATTAATCGTTATGCAATTTAAGCCAATAAATAGTTGTTGAAAGATTTAAACAAAACTTAATATAATTGGATTTAAAGAAAAAAATCCTTAAAAAAAGTTCACAATTGCAATTGACACTTTTTTTTTTTATTGAATTCATTTCATCCTTTTGTAAAATAAGTTTATGTAAGCGTTCATGTAAACATTCATTCGACCACTTTAATAAAGTTGTTTCTCTTATTAATTAATTAATTCAAAAAATATTCTAAAATTTTGTTTATATACAATTGCACTGTAAATATTCCAAAGCAAGGGAGAGAGAAAGAGAAAAAATAAATTTTTTTAAATGCGAACCTCTTAAAAGCGAAAAAAGCGATCCTTTTTAGAGAGTCAATGAACTTCGACTCACTTATTTTTTTTGTTAGATTTACGTGAATGAATCGTTTCAACGGTCAGAGCTGATTTATTATAATGTGCATTGGATATACGATCAATAAAATACAAACCCAGAATCGAAAATAGAATGCTATTAAATAACAAAAAAAAAAAAAACAAATTACATAGAGACAAATGTTTATATTTCCATACAATTACTTACCAGGTGGTTGCGCAAACGCGATGTACAACTCCGGCCGCTACGACTGCAACTATTAGACAAAATAATATTTCAGGAATAAATTTTGAAGAGAAATCTTCACCAAATAATAACATTTCCACATTAGATAGTGACGTTAAACTAAATAAAAATAACCATGAACCAATGAAACCGCCTAATATCGTATTTAGTTGGCTGGAATTAAACCATTCCGAATAAAAGCGTAAAGTAGCATAAATCATTAACGACATTATACACGAAATGATGGCACTGATGAGATGACCTCGTGGCAGACCTGAAACTGAATATGTTTCGAAATGATTAAACCATATATTTTACAATACAAAAAACAAGAAACAGAAGATACAAACCATCCTTAACCATCGTAAAAATACGTGTAAGATTACCAAAAATTTGTTAAAAAAAAAAACGCACGTATTTAGTGCACATATAAACAAACAATTTCTTAGCAATACATCCAATCGATAACAATTCACGGCTAGAGATTGAGATATCTTTCAAAATGTTTATCGTTTAAAGTTCATCTTCTTCTTTAACTGGCTGTCGTCGACTTCTTTTGTTTACGAATATAAATAATAAATGACAGCTGCGGTGACATTTCATTTTGCTTTTTATTCGCGTGGTTGAATACATTTTGTTTTCCTTTTTTTATATTAATTTTCTAGATTTAAGATCAACGCGTTACTGCTTAGCCTAAGTTTACAACGTTCCTGCTCCAGCATCGGAATTGCTGTAAAATCATTCATCATCTGATCGAGTAACTGTAACTGCGAAACCGATCAGAACTATACTATAACAATCTAACCAAAAAAAAAAAAAAATAAAGACCAAAGCATTAAAAAGAAAAAAGACAAAGACATAGGCAAAGGCATTATTTTGAATAAAAATTAATAAACAATGGCCCCATTAACTGCAGCAATTATAGAAGAATTATTAGAAACTGACATAAACCTAGAAGAAGGAGTCGAACAAATAGTCAAAGGTGAGAATCGTTAACAAAAACTTGGCCGCGGTGAGCCAAACATCTTTTTGACTTTTGTATCTTTCTTTTTTTTGAAAACTTAGATCTTACAAGTCATTTTTATGATATCGGAGAATTATGTGAAAAATTGCAAACACCTTTAACATCTACTAACGTGGAGAGACGTGTTCAGGGTACCTTGTTATTGACTCGAGTACTCGCTCACCTGCCTAAAGATATGTTAAATAGACAGCAATTAAATGTTATGGTTGAATTTTACGCAGCTCGTTTAAAAGATCATCACAACGTAATACCGGCCGTGATAGAAGGCATTGATGCTTTAGTTCGCATGGTCTATATGGAAGGAACTGATGTAGTTAAACTCTTGCAAAGCTTTTTTATAAATACCACCTGTCAATCACAACTTCGTAGTGATCGCTTTAAACTGTTCAATACATTTCAATATATCTCAGAGAGATATGTTTCTGGTAAATATTTATTATTTATTATATTATTTTATTATATTATTTCACTAAGTTAAATAATACTGAAATTTTTCATCAAAGAGAACAATTATGTCTGAAGAAAAAATTAGGAGCTAATTTACTGAGAATTTCTACTCTCGAAGCAGTTCAAATAAGGTGACCGGAGTTTTCTTCCAAAAAAGTAAGACAAATGGGAAGCGCTAATTATCGCCGTTATCATATCGGGAAGGTTAGGCAATGAAATTGTTGTAGTTGTCCGTCAGTTTTCGATTTAATAACTTTCCTAGTTTTCGGGTATTCGAAAATATGTTGATATATGTTGTTGTATATATGTTGAGAGGTCTTACGTAAGTGAATGCGACATCTGCACTTTTACCTGTCTTCACTTTGTCCATGCCCGGCACGCGAAGGATTCACTTCAAAACCAACTGAATTGATTTTTAAACGAACTTGAGAGACGACATGAACATGTATACGAATGAAATTTCGAATATTCGTTTCGATTGTAAAGTTATCTGTTTATTGGAAATAAAATGAAATCACATCCACCAAGGTCAATGAACAAGCATCGAATCAAGCCGAGAAGGAATATTCTCAAAATGTACCGCAGATTAGGTATGGGAAAAGGTATTGGGACCACCGATATTACCGCTATATCTCTTGCAAGTTATACTTAACAAGGATACGCCATTATCGGCGAGTAATGAGACAGGATATATAGCATATATAATAAATTAAAAAAGATAGTTGTTTTTGACGAAATATTACCTAAAAAGGAGTGGAAAGTGAAAATTAGGGAATTTCTCATTGATCATTCAAAATTGCAATACTAAAGAAAAGCTAATTTATATATTTTACAGCCTCTGCCAAGCAGTTAAGAATAATATACATAATAATATATATGTATTTTTGTTTTGCTTTCATTTGCATTCTTTTGCATTTGGTTTTATTTCGCTTTTATTTCTTTCGATTAAAATCTAAAGCATAAATTATTACCGGACTTCTATTGCATGTTTATGAATTTATCCTTTAAACAATAATCCGTCCGTGAACTGAATATTTCGAAAATAATTCTTAATTTAAGTAATTGCAATTTTAATTAGAACATCTATTTCTATAAACTGGAGATATGCATTTTCTCAGAATAAATGTTCTCGTCACCTTCCAGTTTAATGGTCAGGCGAAACGCTTTAAATTTAACAAATATTTATCAAATCTCAAACAGCTGACGTTCATCATTTAAAAAGTAAAATTCTATTCTCAGCGTAAAATTTACTTTGCTGTACATTTCTTATCGAAAGCCAAAATAAATGCCGAGAATAATAAAATTGTATGCTACCGTAAGAAGAGTGAGAGTGTTAAGTGCATAGGAAAATCTTAAAGCGCAAAGGTCTCTCAAAATTATCAAAAATCAGTGTAAATGTCTCTCAAACTTACCAATACCCAGTTGAAATGTTTCTTAAAATTACCAAAAACCAAAATCTTTCCAAAAAACCAAAGTCTTTCAAAATGAGCAAAATCAAACAGTGTGTGTGTGGAAGTGACCAAAATCAATCCACTCTAGTTCGAAAATGAGCAAAATGCATATATTTTTCAATAAAGGTAAACAAAAACTCAGAAAAATTTTCCCTCAAAATTTTTATTTTACTAAAAATACCTGTAGGATAATTCTCTGTTTAAATAAATCACAACATAGCTAATCAATTTTTTCTTTTTTTTAAATTTAATGTTTGAACTTTGCTGAATAAATAGACAGATTGGAAAAAGAGGGCAAAGGCTTATACAAATATATTCAGTTTCATTTTTCTATATCAGTGTTGGTTTTTGGAAATTTTCATTACAAGTCGAAATCTTAGAACCAGATTAAAGCAGATGCGCACGTATTTGAAAAACTGAATTTTTAAATTAAAAAAAAAAGTACCTTTCACCAAATGCATAGGTTAAAAAACAGGCCGTTGAAATGTTACGCCAGCTTGAGTCATTTGTGACATAGTTGCCAATATAAGTAAAGTAAGCTCATAGCACTTATTTCTGCCACATGCGCATGTTAAACACCATAACTTAAAATAGATTTTATTGCAAAAGTTGAAAAAAGCCATGCTGAACGAAGCCATCTGAAGGGCTATTGTATAGGTCTATTGTATGGGTCTCTACAGATGGGCTAAGAGATGTGCTCATGATTAAAGCAATAATTTGCATCGTTTATTCCGCCTATCACTTATTGCTCAAGTGTCAATTTGGAAAAAATACTTTTTAACTTGACCGCAACAGTTTGGTTGGCTTCAAGCGAAGCTGTGAACCTGATATTATTACGTCGAGTCATAAGTAACTTCCGTATTTTTATCAGGCATTGAACGACTAAATTAAATCTTACTTTAATAGGTGATTGTGGGGTATTCAATTTTTTTGAAATACCTCTCCTTGATTGGCGCGGAATTTTGCTCCAATATTACCTTTGAAAGGTCGTCGCCAAAGTCGGGACAACGTCCCGTATTTTAAGGTTAAATATCCAAAACGGAATTTTGTAACCAATTTTTCTAAGTGCGCGATCAGTTGTCAGTCCTATAACGTATACGCTGCATATTATTTCAGCTGTCGTCTTAGCGACTGTATAATTTCCCAAACTTGTTCAAATTTCCAACCCACTGCATGCATTTTTTGGCCCCCCATTTCAGTGGTTAAGCAAAACAGTTGAGAGAACAACAGCTGAGTGTAAACAAAAACACGTTTGCTTAGGTGAATTATAGTGGGTCAATACGAACAGTAGACTCTATCTGCCTGCATCGGAAGTTATTTATGACTTGACCTAATATTATGCACGCATAGCGTGGGCAGAAATTACAATAATACGATTAACAACAAATATTAAACTTACGCTTGGTACCAAGATTTATCAGATCTATATGAGAAGCATATGCAAAAAGGCCCCCATATATGCACGTAAAACACTCTGCTATGTTTACGGACTCGTTGAAAGTAGTGCATGCCAAAGTTCCCAGTCAAGTCTAGCTTTTTATGCCCTAAACCACTTGTGCGCAAGGATATGTGAAGTTTTTGCGCATGTATGCAACACCCGGATGGAGTTGAAATAGATCGACTGTTTAGTATACCCACTAGAGTCAAAAAGGCTCTTAGAAGTACAAACAATTCCTTATATGAAAAAAAAAAAAACTAGTAAAAAGGTTATGTTCGGCTAGGGCCGAGAATCTCGCATACCCATCACCATTAAAATCTTTAACGCCCAACTCTTTTATTTATGATCATATATCTTGCACTTGTCGCTTCTCAACTCTCCAAGTCCTTTTATTTGAGGCCCATATCGATGGTATTATTAAGAAAAAGTTAATCTAGCCCGTCGTGGTGTCCACTGTATTCGTTTTAGAATTAAAGCATTTGTAGGCAGATAATGTATCTTCATTTGAGGAATGTACAGAATAATTTCAAACGTTTTATCTTGTTTTACCTTGCGATTAATAAGTATAAAGCTTTAAAAAATTATAAAAAAAAAAATGTAACCATTTATAATTTTGTGTTGAAATGGCTGAGTTTTTCCATTTTCTCATATAAATCATTAAAGTAGTCTATAAATGTAAACGATGTAGAAAATTTCGGCCTTCTATCTTCCGTAATTTGTGAGTAATGGACAAAATTCCATAAATTTTTGCTTAGAGAAATGGAGCTGCGTTCAGTTTACGCTTCCCTGTTGTGGCAAATTTGATCTATTTTCAATATCAACCTGCGTGCAGCAACTTTCCATGTTTCTACCAAATTAGAAATCGATATCTTAATTTTTGGCGAACAGAAGAGTGTCAAGAACACACACAATGCACACAAAGACGCAAAGATGGTTAGACACGGCTTAATCGATTCAGAATATCACGCTGCTCAAAAATGTGTATATTTTAGAGGGTCGCGTCTGATGATTTCTTTTGGACATACAGACGGACAGATATGGCTTAATTGTTCCAGAGTTTCACGCTGATCAAGAATATAAATATTCCATAGGACCTCTGAAGCTGTCTTTTGGCCATATACGCACACAGGCGGATAGATGTGGCTTAACCGATTCAGAATTTCACGCTGCTCAAGAATATATTTACTCTTCTGAAGATTTCTTTTGGACGCACAGGCAGACAGATATGGCTTAATCGATTTAGAATTTCAAGTTGGTCAAGAATATAAACACTCTATAGGATCTATGAATTTGTCTTTTGGCCATGCAGGCACACAGACGATTTAAAATTTGAAGCTGATCAAGAATTTTATTGGGTCTCTGAAGCTGTCTTTTGGGCATACAACCACACAGACGGACAGACATGGCTTAATCAGCATTGCACGCTGATCAAAATATATACAGATTATGGCGTCTCTGAAAGAAATCGTCAGTTAAGAAAAATTAAAGAAAATTCAACCAGAATTCCAACAATATTTACTGAAAAAAAAAAAAAAAAAAAAAAATGATTTTCTTTTCCAAGCGACTATTTATATGTTCTTGTTTTATTTACAGAACTTAAAGTCATGTCGGGTGATTTCATTTATGGTATTATAAGTTCTATCGATGGCGAACGAGATCCTCGTAATTTGGATTTAATTTTTTCATTTATGCCTGGTTTTATCGCCACATATCCGTTGCTGCATTTAAGTGAAGAAATGTTTGAAATTTTCGCCTGTTATTTCCCCATTGATTTTACGCCGTCCCCCGGTGATCCCAGCAACATAACTAGAGATGATTTAGCAGCAAAATTGACAAAATGTTTAGTTGCCTCCCCCGATTTTATTGAATGGGCAATCCCGTTAGCTTTAGAGAAATTGGAAAGTGAATTAATTGTGGCTAAATGTGATTCTTTGGAATTGTTGGTGAGTTTTTTGAATTTGTTTTTTTTTTTTTTTTTTTTTTTTGCTTAATAAAAGACAATTTTTCTCCTTAGTATCAAGGCGCTTTAAATTTTCCATGTGATCGAATTGAGGCGCAATTTGAAACGATTTGGTTAGCTTTGAAAGCAGAAGTTTTTCCCGGTTCCGAGCATACGACAGTTGTAGATGCTGCTTTACGCGCAGTTAGCTGTTTTCTAGAGCAAGCTGCCAAAGCGAATATCTCCATCAGTCATAATTATCAGACTATGTTACTGGGAACAATTCTAACGCATTTAAGTGATGTTAGTCAGCGACTCTTCGAGCCGGCTGCACGTATTGCTATCGCCTGTTTATCTGGTGATTCAATATTTGCCAGTGAGAAAATTTTTGGAACGTTCCTCCTGAAACTAAACGATTCGTCAAATCCTCTAAACGATGAGCAATGTTTAAGTGTCTATACAATAATAGGGAAAATGTTTAAAATTATTTGCTCTCACGATCCGTCGATTTACAATAACTTAAGTGCAGATTTATGCGAGCAATTACATCGTCATGTCGGTAATACTTTGAATGCTAATGATAATGAGGATACTTGCAATCAAGATTTGATGCGCGCGGCTATAATCATATTAACGGAATCGACTCCATTAATTAATGAAGGAAACCGTGCCTTAATTTATAAAGTGTTAACAAAAATACTAAAGTTAGACTTTTTGAATTTAACTAACGAGCTACGCGTACTTATTGAACGTCTCGGAACTCTTCAACCCAATGAATTGCAAACAAAATGCATTGATTTATGTATAAGTGATTTCTCCACATATTCAACTTGTGTTCAAAAGAAAATGTTTGAATATTTTTTACCGTTGGTTAAACAATTGCCATTCACTGAACTCATTGTGAATTTATTGCTTCAACAGGCTTTCGCTACTTACTTAGTAAATGAAAAAGATAAACATTATGTAGCACTCCAAGCGTTGAGTAAATTATTGCAATATCAAGAAAAAAATTTCGTTAAGGAGCTGCAATATGAAAAGTCTTTAATTGCTAAATACGTGAAATTGGCTAAAAAAGTGGATAGTTTTTATTTTCCAAATATGTTTCTAGCCGAGATAGCTGTCGGTCTTTCTTTAGTCATTCGATCATTGCCCGTTGCTGAGCAGTATATGGTCGCAACACAAAATTTGGCCGAATTGAATCTTCAAGAGACATCGGACATATATGTAGCTCAAGGTTTATTGGGTTTCCTTCATAAAGATATCCGTTTAGATGATCATTTTGAACGTTTACTAGACGATCTAACACAATTCTCGATGACCAGCGATGATCTCGAAGCACGAGACGTTGCTCATCATTTGCTTTGCAGTTTTGTTAATAAAATTGATTACAACAATGGCAAAAATAATCATGGAATTTTGAAAAATAAAATTAAACAACTCATAGAACTGATTAAAGAGGAAAAGGAGCCGGCAATCGATATTCTGGCTTGGTTTGCTAAGGGATTAACAATGCGCGGTTGTGACGAGGCTGGCGAAATACTCGAAGAGGTTTAAGCTTTTCATATTAAAAGTGTCTGGCTTTGAAATGAAATTTGATATTTTTATTTAACTTTAGTTGGTCAAATTATTGGAGCATCCAACCTTAGCTTATGCCGCTTGCGAGGCGTTTAACATCATCTCTTCCAAATATCCGCATTTACATTTACCGATTATTAAGTTTTTATATAAACAGAAATATTTTCAAATGATGTTAACCAAATTGCGTCACAAATTGGAAACTTATTGTGAGCATCATTTGCAAGCCTTTCTTTACATATTGAGAGCAACACCGCATGCGGTTTTAAAACTGAACATTGAAAATGTATGCCTATTTATTTTGATACGATAATGCATAGAGAGATCGAAGATAATTTGCTTTACTTTATTTTCAGATTGGACCCGCTCTTTACAAAGGTCTGAGCACAACCAATATGCACACTTTACGTATATCCGTTGATATTTGCAGCAGCTTTGTTCACCAGCAGGACGAATATTTTGGAAATCATTTGTCGGTCTTAATACCATTGTGCTTAAAATTAATTACATTTGAAGATTCAATGGTAGGAAATATTCTAGTTGATGTTTTTATACCCGACATCGAGTATATCCATCTTGTCGTCAAAGCTTTTGTATATATTCTTAATCAGCCTCAAATTCTGAATCGATTTAAGTATGTCCGTCTGTCCCTTCGTTTAATATAAATGTTCTCCTGGCCACAAAAATTAAACTAGGACTTGCAACGTTGGCAATTCTTGCACGCAGATTGGTATTGAATGCGGGTCAAATCGGTCGAACGACACGCCTATAATATCACGTAAAGTGAGAGCACCTCTCTTTGGTATATCAAGATTTTATTTTCTTGTTAACCTTCAAAAACCCCACAAAATATTTGTTTCTTGACCAAGGTCAAATTTGAAATGCATCTAAACATGTCCGCATGTCCATCCGTCCCTCTGGCCGCCTGCATAGTAACCATGGCAAACATTATCCCTTCGCCTTCGGATATGCGCAAGGATTTGAAAATTATCCAAACCGACCAAACGATACAACTATACTCCTGTACTATAGAAATTGCGAACAGATTCGCTTTCCATGCACTTTCTTTGCTTTTCACTCATAAAGTACAGCCCAGACCACATTTAAAATTTCGCTCTCATTCTGAAAATGGAACAAATCAACCACGTCCATCCAATATCATAGAGTATTAAAATTAAGCCATTTTATTTTTGCCTTATCTGTTTGAGGATAACGATGAGGGACATAAAAGATTCGGTCGCGACCGAATATAATTTTCTTACATGTTTGTTTTTCTTTTGTTCATTGATTTTCTTAATTTTTTTTAATATCTATTTGCACATCCACCATCAAAAAAGGCATAATGCACTTGTCGCTCCGTTTGTGACATTCAGAAATATTCATCAAATTCAGCAGCGTGATATTTGAATTCTATTTACCAGGTCCATGCGTTAGACGTTGTCTGCGTTTAGAACTCTTTCGCCAATTCATATTAATTATCATATAGACTGCGGTCATGCGTTACATTTGAAAATGGGGCCTTTTGCCCTTATTTACACCCCCATTAGGCAAGAAACTATAACTTTTAACCTATAGCATATGGATCCAAAATCTAAAATGACGATCCCCTCAAAATTTCAGTAAAGAGTAATGGGTGCGATGGTCTCTCTACCAATAACCCAATAATAGGCAAAAGGAAGATAATCGAGTTAATATCCGATTTAAATGATACCTAAGGCCAATTGAAGGGTCAAGGATTCCGAATGACTGACGGACAGACTTATACTTAATAAAACATTTTCTAATTATTGCATAATACTTTGAGCTGATGGGTATCAAAAGATTCGCCCTAAGGCGATTATAATTTTTTTATTTGTTTTTTTTTGTGTGTTTTTTTTTTTCTAATTTCTCTTTTTCTTATAGTATGTGCGCATTTCTGTCCTTAATCTACTGCATGACCTTACAAAGTATCCCACATATTTGTTGTTGCCTTATAGAATGGATGTGATATTGGAATTAGCGTCAGCATTGGATGATCCCAAGCGCTTAGTACGTAATGCGGCGGTTAGGGCGCGCAACTCTTGGTATCTGATAGGCGCACCGGGAACCGAATAATCTTCAATTGCTTTAAAGATTTACTTAAGCGCTTTTTCATATCTAGTTATGCTTAAGTGTATATATATATGTATGCGTGTTTGTGTGTGTGTTAATAAACGAAAAGTTAAGTAAATCTATCAATGGAAACGTGTGCGACCTTTTAAATGATTTATGTACTAAAGTATAAATTATCGTTAAGCATATTATTTCCATTTCCGTTTTGGTTTTTGTCTTTTCTTTTTGTTACTTTTATTCGAAATTAACCGTTGAAAAAAATATATTATTAGTTGATTATCAATAAGGATGGTCACATTGTGATCTGGCCATGAGAGCGCATTTTTGGGCTTTTTGCACAACTTCGGGACAACGACGCTTACGTAACAGACGACAATCCTGAAAGTAGCCTTCATTTCGCGGAAAACCATGAGTGAAATCTTGATAGGTTATTAAGCCGAGACCCCAAATTTTGCCACCACGAAATTCACCCTCAAATTTCATACCGTCAGCGCGCCAAAATATCCCATGACCATGAAACCAACCATTCATAAATTCTCCCTCATATCTGCAAGGGAAACGCCAAAAAAAAAAATGGAAAAATAAAAAACAAATCATCATATCACGCACGTACTTGGCCCCGTCAGCAAACCATAAACAACCTAAACCGTGGCTCATGCCTTCGACAAACTGTCCATCATAACGAGTACCGTCGGCAAATTGCAAATGACCCAAACCGTGCTTTTGACCGCGTTGATTCCATTCGCCTATATAGCGAGTCGAGTCCTCATAACGCCAACCACCCACCTTGACCGCACCTCTCGACGGTGAAGTCTCCATTGGCATGCGTCCAACATTGCTTGCTACACTGGCTATGACAAAACCAAAAGGAGAACAACAAAAAAAGTCTTTAAATTTGAAAATATTTATCACTTTACTTGTCCACCTTGTTCCTCGTAATCATCCATTTTTTTTTTCTGATATGTTTTTTTTTTTTTAGATATCTATATATATATCTATATACATATATATATATATATATAATTCAACAATATAAAAATTATTTATTATCAAGTAAAGTAAATCAATGTTGAATGTTCAACGAATGTTTAATGTTTAACGCAATACTAAACAACGTTCATTCACGTGCTTTGTGTGGCTTCGTAATTTTTCATTCGCTAACAATTATTACTGTTCCATTTTACCTTTTAAATCTAATTAACATGAAAGGTATGTCTTTGAAAATATGAAAAACAAATACTGTATGTAAACATACAACCGCGAATTCTTCTCCTATTCCGCTTTCATTGTTTACATACCTGTTGCTTGAGAATGAAATAAAAACGATTGTAGACATTAATTCCATGTCATCCATGTTGATGCGATGAAAAGCTTACTTCCGAATATGACCAAAAGGAATTGGTTCGAGACGACAAATATTGAAATAGTAGTAATCATGCAATGGGAAGTTGGGGAACTCCAACACCAGTCAAAGAGCGAACAAAAGTGGCCGTTGATGCGTGATACTGTATAGTATCAAACATGTGAATATCATTATTCTGCCAATGTTCACCTTTTCTTAAAAAGTCCAAGCTTAATACTTAAAGACATTAAGTCGAGTCATAAATAACTTCCGATGCAGGTAAGTAGAGTCTGTTGTTCGTATTTAGCCACTATAAGTCACCGAAACAGAGAAGTTTTTGATTTCGCTATACAGATGAAGATTCAGTTAGTCTTCTATCAATTGTTTTGTATGATGCATGTTACATATTCAACTGTTTTTTTTAACCTCTGAAGTAGAGAGTCAAAAAATGCACAGTCGACATGTAATGCTTTGGGAATTTAAACAAGGCAAGTAGCGCTAAGACGACAGCTGAAAAAATATGCAGCGTGTACGGTGAACGACTGATAACTGATGGGGCAGTTAGAAATCGGTTTACATATTTCCGTTCTAGAGATACAAACTAAAAAGACGGGACGTTTTTCCGATCTTGACGACAACCTTTTAATCAGCAAAAGGTATAGCAGAAAGATTGAATGCCTCAAAAGCAACTGTTAACCGCCATCTAGAGGCATTAGGGAAAGTCAGCAAGTTAGAAGCGCGGATGCCTCTCAATCTCAGTGAACGGAATAAAGAAGTTCGCATCGCAATCGCCACAAGTCTGCTCTCACGGGTTAAAATCGATCGAAGAATTGGTTACCTATTACAATATCGTTCGCAAAAGACAGTGGCTTGGTAAAGAATTAATCCCCCTCACCGAAATATCCGAAAACAAACATCCATGGCAAAAAGATCTTAGTGGTCTTCTTATCAATTTAATAATTACTCCGGATAGATACGTCCAGCAGCCGCAAAGGGTGCAAGAGAAACTCCATGAAAGGTGTCCAGCAAAGATGACTCCAGAAAAAATTGGATGGTCTGTTTTAGCATACCACGCCTTACTTCCCATGCCTTACCCTCCCAGACTAGCAAGTTTTCTGTGACCAGACATTTTGAATGAAAAAATCTTCAATTCTGAAGAGTAAGTCAGTTAGGTTGTTGAAAATTTCTTCCCGTACAAACCGGCCACATTTTGCAAGGAAGCAAATGATAAACTAGCAGGAAGAAGGCTGGAAGATCATATATAATAATGAATTAATAGAATTTTGTTATTCAATGAGAACAAAATAAATGTCTGATAAGAAAACGGAAGTTACTTATGCGTCGACCTAATATATTAAAAGTTTTAATAAATTCTGTCTGTCTGTGCTGTAATTCCTTACTTATTAAAACGTATATGAAGCATTGAATTTTTCTAAAATTTTTGATGTAAATAACTTGAATATTGATATACGATGTGACTATCAATTGCTTACAAGTCGTCGGCCAGTAAAAAAATGTGAACTACATAAAAGGTGGATCTTAACGGCCTACAAAAAAACGAGGTATTTTGATATTTTTCATAGAATAGAAGGAAAGGTAGTAGAATAATAATAGTAGAGGAGGTTTGAAGTACTAAAAAAAAAAATTATTTTGGAAAAATATTAAAAAAAACACACTGCGGCGGGCAGCAAGCATGGCTGGTCCAAATTTACATTAAAACAATACCGAAAAAAAAAAATCGTATAATCTGCATCCCTAGGTCTACAGTGATACTTAGCGGTTCCTCAGAAATATTGATTTTTTATGTAAATGGCGGGGTTTGAGTGCACTTTTCCAAGCAAGAAAATTATGCTTGGTCGTGTTCGAATTTTGTATACCCATCACCGTCATGCTAGAAAAGACTAACAAAAAAGAACTACATTTCCATATTTATATGGAGTGTTTGTTGCATTTCATGAGTGACGACTATAGAACACGAAAAGAAAAGGTGTTCACAGTTTGCAGTTATTGCATAAGTGTATAGGCATTATAAGCGTGTTCCTTGGCCGGTTTGGATCATTTCAAGTTCTTTTGTAAATTCGTAGGCGATATCTTTATTTTTGCGAACGAGAGAATGTGTACCACATATAGTGCCAATTTGCGCACAGACGAGGAGGCGATCATGTTTAGATGCATTCCAAATTTCATTCTGACTAAGAATTTATACAGGTTGTGGAGTTTTGGAAGTTTGCTCCTGAGCGTTATAAAGGTGTTGGAAAAACTGATTAAATTTTGATGCTATAGTATTGAGCGGGGGTGGTCACTTCATTCCATTCTCGTGCAGCTATTGCAGCAACGGCTACAAACTTCCTAAAAAACTGCCTAATTTTCATTTTTGCTGATCAAAAACATATATATGTATATCTTTTGGGGTCTCTGAATTTTCTGGGTCTTGCAAACACTTTGACAAAATGAATATACTCCTTATTGTTCGGTGATGGGTATAAAAATGTTTAAATGAACTTATCGAAAAACTCCTATGTACTTCTGTAGATAGGGTAGTTTCAAAGGTATTGTGAAAAAAAGTCAGATCAAGGAAAATGAAAGTTGTTTGGATTATGCTCTGTGCAGTTTTGCAAAAATGTGTTTCAAGATGAACGCGTTTAAAGATTTAGGACGCTACACTACTTGTGATACAAGGTGTATTAAATTAGTGCGGACGTATCTAATACGCAGAAGGAGCTAAGATAGGTTCTGAAAAGATCTAAGGCTGTCTGTCCGTCTTTCTGCATGTCTGTCCATATAATTTTGCGTTCAAGCTACTGGTAGCATTTTTTTGTATATTAACGTGTTTTTAATCTGAAAAGCGAACACTATTGAAAATGGTTCGGGTCGGTCCACTTTTTCCACCACTCCCCATATAGCGCCCTATTTTCTTGGCAAAAATGACTAAGTAGTATTATTTCGGTGTTCTAAATTGCTATGAACACTTTAGATCGGCCGAGCAATTTTTGAACCCTCTTTCAAATAACGAAAACTCAAGTTCGTATGACAGACAGATATAATTTTCCTCGAGAAGCATAACAGTAATTTAACATTAAAAATGTAACTGTACCAAATTTGGACCATCTCGGCCTATTGTTTGGATCCCACCCAAATGAGGATTTTCATGAAAATAGATGAAATGATGAACCTCATAAATATGGTGAACCGAAACGTTCGGTTGAGCAGCGCAGCCGATATATATGATAAAATGGAAAATTTGAAGGAACTCTTTTGAAAACTCTTCTGATATTATTATTATTATTAATTATTAATTTAGCCAAAGAATAAATTCTAAGACTAAAGTCTTACAGCACTAGCATCTAAAGCTTTCGGGTTTTATTAAAAACTCTACCGCACTTGAGATTTGAACCCACCACCACTGTGTTGCTAGTCGGGACTCGTCTTTACTTGGTCACTTAGGAGGATTCTTCTGAAAGATATGATGCAATTTGTTCGAAAAGTGTTTGTAAAAATTTGTATCACTTTTTTACTTGAAAAAGGCATGTTTTGGGGAAAATGGGCGCAATATATATTAAACAAGAGAGAGTTTCCATCATTTTCTACAACATTTTAAAATATTTTTGGCAATATGGCGATATCGTGTCGAAAGAATTTATAATTGGCAGCGATCCACCCACAAACCCATTTTCGCACTTCTTCAACTATGCGGGCCCACGTGATAAATCGATCTGAACAAGTAGTAACAAGGTGGTGTTATGTCTGGCGAGTACGTTTGGTGTGGCAGAACTTCCGGTTCGAGTAGCAGCAGTGTATTCTGGGCAACTCTTGCAACAAATGGACACATAGTGTTTTCAGTCAATTCGTGTCGCCACTTTTAAGCCGTTGAAACCGTGGCTTCACCATAAGCCTCTAAACGCGTTTGGCTTTGGCAACAGATTGCTTCAAATAAACAACAAAAGTAATGAATTTGGAAGAAGAATTTCGGACGTTCCATGATTAGCGTCGACATACGCTCAACGTTATTTTATGTAGAGGAAGAACCATTAAATTCAACCGTTATCTACACTGGTATTTCCCATTACGTTATCATTTTTACTTGTAGAAGTCACTGATTAACATCTTTGCAAACGCCTTACATATGACAAGGAGAAGAAATCATTTAAAAATTTGATTAAAAAGTATAACATGGAGAGGAGTTTGTTTGAAAATTCATTTGAACGTTCGTTTGATGGATATAACGAAATGAAGGAAAGTTTGTTTTGAAAGTTTAGCCGAAAAGTAGGATGAACTGAAAAGCTCTCTTAATAACTCGTTTAAAAAACATGACGGACGGAAAAAATTATTCGAAAACTCATTTGAAAGGTAGAACACAAACTGCTGAACACGCCTAAAAGACTTGCTTGTCATTTCAAAGCACTCTTAAAATATGTAAAGAATTAGATGGCATTTAAAGACGTCCATGAAAGAAGAAGCAGGAGAAAAAGAAGAACACAGTGGAAAACTTCATGGCTACAGTTAAAATGATTATAATTGCCTTCTGTTTGTTCTCTTACAATATATTTTCAATATTATTCTCGTGTGCTTTATGTTACTTCGTCGACGTGAGCAGCCTTCTAACTGCTACAGATTAGTAAGAAAATTGGCGAATATTTATTTAAAAATAAAGTTTTTTTTTTCTTCTGTATAATATGAAAAGAAACAACAATTTTTATTACACAAGTAGCCATAATTTTAATTTCCTTTTCTTCTTTTTTTTTTTTTTTCTTTTTCTATGTAACGAAAACTGAAAATTAATTATTAAACATAATTGTTGTTGGATACTTCTTCTTAATACTATACAATTGTTTTTAATGAAAACTTAAAAAGAAAAAACTGAATAAAATCAATAATAAAAAAAAAAAAAAAAAAAAACAGAAAAGGAAAAAATTTAAATAAAAAAGCCAATTAAAATGCTTACAATTAATATGCTTACAAGGAGTAAGGTCCTGCTTGATTATGCATTTAACGTAATGAACAACGAATCAAAAATGAATATTTCATTAATCACGTATGAACGGTAGGATAGGTGGTAGGTAGTAGGATAAGTGGTATAAATAATAATAAAATTTGAATCAAAAGTTTGATGAATAATTGATAATAATATGAATGGAAAGCTAAATATATATTTCTAAGTTTCAATAATCGAATCGCTTATTAACTAATTACAACTACAATATTTTCATTGTTAAATGTACTCCTCCCCTCTCTTTCTCATTCACACGACAACAAATTGATATTAATCGATATATGAAATGTATTCATGATAGATGTATACGTATTGCATGGGGCGAAGAGTGATGGAGAAGATAAGAAGTTACTGGTCAGCTTCATCAAAGGAATTTTCCCTACAAAAAAAAAATAATTTAATTTTTAATCCTTCATAGGATCTTGGCAATTTATCGGTTTTCTATTTTATCGAATAATAGGCATGGGCCACACGTGGCCCGCAGGCCGCAACCGGTTTGTGATGTCATGGAATCAGTTCAGCTACATTTAAAATTTCAAGCAGCTCAGTTGGTCGTACATTGTCGTGCTGTAAATGGATTGTATGTGCTTTTGCTTTAGAGTAGGCACGGGCAAGGCACGGTGGCCCGCGGGCCGCATCCGACTTGTGGTGTCGTGGAGTCAGTCCAGCTACATTGAAAGTTTCGAAGAGTACAGTTGCTCGTACATGGCCGTGCTGCAAATGGATTGTATTTGTCTTCACGATCGGCTCAGCTGTGCAGCTATTAAATTGCAAATGTGTGTAAGTGTTCTTTTATCGTTCATAACGCCGTAAAAAGAACGACTTAAAAGGAAAAGCAAATCGATGGAGTATTCTCCATTTTTTAATAACGGCTAGATCTTATTCTGAGCCTCGCCGTGTTATATAAAAAAAATAAAAATTGGCTTATTGATGAAAAAGTTGGCCCACATCTCCTCTAGACAACTAAAGCAAGAAAAATTTTGGAGATACGTATAGTGGAAATTCTTCTCAAGCGAAGCATGTGTTATTTGCGAAAGTTAAGTGTACATAGAAGAAGAATAAAAAAAATTATTGTCTCCAGAGAGCTCTTTCTATTTATAGAATTTAGAAAATTTCTTTGTCTATTCAAAGAGGAAAAGGGATTGCGATAAGCTTTCAGAACTTTGCGAAATTTTTCGGTAGCTCTATTGAAGAGAGTTACAACCGACTTATCCGTGACCTATAAAATGAAATAATTTAGCACGTTGCCCTCATAACTAATCAACCCATTCTTTAGTTTGGACTTCAAATTGCATTTATACCACCAGAGCAACTATATATACGTTCGTTTGAGACTTTGGTTTCAGAAAATTAAATCAAATAAAAACTAAATGCACTTATAAACCATTTAATAGACTTTTCACTCTGTCCCACTCGGCGTGAACGTTACAACAGCTCTCTCTGTGACTTATAAAATCATTGAAGTATAACACCTAATCTACCTCTGAATAGAGTAAACAAATTATCTGTAATATCGCAATGAGTATTGCTCATTAGTCAGTCTTGACTTCTAGGCGACCAACTGAAAAATTGATTTTAACAAATTTTTTATTAGACTTGGAAAGAAGAAAATTTGAGTAATACGGAATCGTCTTTAAAAAAAATTTTTTTTAATAAAAAACTTTACTCAAAATAAGATGCCTGCTGAACGAATTTATATCCGACTATAAAAACCAACCATGACAGGGCGTTGGAAAAACATGTTTAAGTATAATGATAAGAGCCATAATAATAACCTAGCTGTGCCAGCGATCTATTAGGAGTGCGCAGAGTTTGTTGCAAGATTATCATCACATGCGTACAAGTAGTTTGGCAACAGCTACAATCAACGAAAAGTCTTCGGAAGGTTTGCAGGCAGCCTTAAAAACAATGCGCTGTTGGAAAGGAAAAGTTCAATAGAAAACTTTATATTAAATAACTCCAAAGATTGATTTTGTTAATCTAATAAAGGTATCTAGATTTTGCAAGTTCTTCTTACAGATCTCGTGATTCTTCAGAAGAATAGAGAGGTCAGTCAGGAGACTATTGGCCTAATACTTTTTGCAATCGAATTCTGCTTTCTCACTTTTGTCTGCCTTATGATCCCGTATCTTGTAAACATCTTGCATTTTAACGCCATATTGAAATGAAGGTTTCGACAAAGCCTCTTTACGGCTCCTACAATCACAATGCTTTTCTTAGAAATTAAAAACTACCCAGAAGCCTTTTGTAAGAAAACTAAAGAAGGTTTTTGATATATGGGCAGCATATGACACGTGACAAAAAAAAAAAGCTGTAGGTCGATAATTTAAGATGAAAGTTTGCTTACAAGAATGTTTGAAGGGTAGTTGCCTTTTCATCGTATCTACTCTTTTAAAATTTCTCTCCTGATTTTTAGTCGGCGCCAGCTATTACTTTGGAAAGTATGAAAACGATTAATGATGCAATATTTCTTCGACAGAAGTAGTGAGTTTTACAGCAATTCCATCCTACATGTTAAGCACAGTACAAGTTCTAGGAACTTCAAGGCAATATCTTCCTACATCATAGGCACATTATGAGTTTTAGGAACTTGAAAGCAATTCCATTTTACATTATAGAGACATTACGAGTTTAACTCTAAGAATTTAAGAATTCAAAGCTTGCTCGCAATTAACCTATATTAGGTTAGAAAATCGATTTTCTTCTAAGAGTTAATTAAAATCGCTTTACGCTCTATAAGCCGACATAAGTATAAATCAAAAATTGTCCACCAATAGTAAGTATTGAAAAGCAAACGACTTAATAATTTTCAAAGTTAAGTTTGAAAAAGAGAATTGAAAAATTCCTTATCTTTAGATATCCACTTACCACATCTTACGTCAATTCAGAAATTAACAGGATTATAAAGTTGAATGAAAATGATGATGAAATTGTAATCACAATTCGGATCGATTTTTTTCAATTTGAGGAGATGAGGAGAAAAAAACATATGTAGCTATGGCTATTTAATATAATTTATGACCTTCTATTAATCGTGTGTTTAAATACTTAAGGATAACTGACATAAGCTATTCATTCTTCCGTAAAATGATCATTCATTTTAAAAATATTAACTCCATGCAATGCATGTATGTGTTTAAGTATATATATATGTATATATATATATATATATATAATTTATTTCATATACAATCGGAAAGGCTACCATCATATGTTGAAAAAAATTTGTCTCTTCAGTCACATATTAATAAATTGTGTGCATTATTTTGTTAATTGCTGTGATTGGTGTTGTTAGAGCATAAATAAGCTGCAATTAAAGAAGAAATATGTTTTTTTTATTTTTTTTTTTTTATTATTTTAAATTAAAGTGAAATTCAATCGAAAATGAGTAAATCTTACAATATTCGCCATCATTATGTTGCGTGTTCCGTGTAGATTGCATATAAGTGAGTGAGCAAAATTTTAAACTTTAAAAAACATTTTTGAAATTTCAATGATTTTTTTTTCTGTTTAAAGTTTCTTTAAGTATGCGGCACATTTAACGGCACTGCTTACTTGGCCCGTATTGGCCAAATTCAGTTTCTTGTGTTTTGCTCGAAACTTTTTCACATACGCATCAATCAAATTTTTGATCTTATGAGGATCAATTTCACCCGACTTACTATGACAAATCTACAAAAATAGATAAGAAGAAGAGTGTTAGCAAAGTTATCGACGAAGATATATATATATATATATATATATTATAATGTCGATTGATTTACCTTGGGTACCGCACGTCGCATTATTTCTTTGTAATCCTCTTTAGTTATTTGTTTTTTATTAAAGCGCGGTTTCAACACTAATTTCACTTCTTCGACTACGCGCTCCTGCCGATTTAATTTGCGCAAAAACTATTCGTATACGTAAATTATAAAAGGAATGCAAAGAAGGAAGTTAATAAAAAAACAAGTAAGAAAGTTAAATTCGGTGAGGGCCGAATCTCTCTCATACCCATCACTATGTTTTTCGCATTCTCATTTATTTGATACCCATATCGCTAGTATTATTCAGCAAAAAGTGATCGCGTTGCCTACCATAATCGTTTTAAAATTAATCCATTTTTGGGCAAGCAATATATCTCTATATATCTCCATTTGAGGAGGTTACAAAATAGTTTTAAGCATTTTGCCTGATTTGCTTTGTGATAAATATAAGCATAAAACCTTAAAAAGGTGAATGAAATAAAATTTAGTTACTCGTAACTTTGTGTAGGCATGGCCGATTGGTTCCATTTTCAGACCTAAAGAATTGACTATTTCGTGAAGTAAAAAACTGAGTTGCGTTCAGTTTACGCTGTATTGGGCGTTTTTGCTCTGACCGATTTAACCCATTTTCAATATCGACCTGCGTGCAGAAATTTCTAATGTTCCTACCAAATTTGAAGTCGCTATCTTCATTTATGCGACCAGAAGAGTGCCAACAACACACACACGGACGGACGGACATGGCTAAATCAACTCCGAATTTCACCTTATAGGGTCTAAGAAGCTTCGTTTCGGGTATTACATATATTTTGGAAAAAAAAAACAACTCCCATCTTACAGTGGTGGGTATAAAAACAATCGAAATAAATAAAATAGTTTTACCTTGTCTTTAACCTGCAGTTCAACGGCAGAGTTGGGCACATCATCATACACCTTAATCAGGTCATCAGATTTTCCTACTGTAAAAAAAAGAAAATAAAAACGAATGAATAAAGATTTAAACTTGAAATGTTTTCACTTATTAGATGTAAACAAAAAAGAATAAATGGCAACACATTTCAGAATGATTAGGTAAAATATTGATGGCGAGTTTTCGTACAGTGTTCATTATAATTAGAAAACAAATAATGTTAAATGCCTCCACCGATTTCTTACGAAATTCAGAACCTTATTATTTTGAATAAATTTTCCAACATAACATAACATAACCTAGTAAAATTCGATACACCATTGCTATGTTTTAGCCGAGAGATAAATACCTATGAAAAGTGATTGAATTTTTAAGATCATTCCCCTGTTGGGAAATAACTTTAATGTAAAGAAATTCGTGATTGTAACATTTCTCGACCAATATCTATAAACTATAAACACAGAGTTGATGTGGAAACATATAAAAAAATTTTATGCGAACATGACCGAATGTTGTATATTGGTCAGGGTTGGTCAGATTTTTGAAGATTGGTTCTCACCGTTAAAAACATATTGACAAAAAAATGAAATTTTGGTATACTATAAATATATATACATAATATCGAATAGGCGCAACAGACTTTTTGAAAGGACTAGTAGCAAAGCACATACAACATTCAATCAAATTTTTGTAGATTTTCCTGCTGTAGTTAAAGAGCAAAAGGAGTTATAACCAACCTTCTTTTTTTTGCACAACAGATGTGTTCTCAGTTTAGATAGTACCGTCGACCGATTTGTCTCATTTTCAATATGAACCTGCTGGCAAGATTTTACCATTTGTCTAACAAATTTACAGACGACAGCTTAATTTTTGTGGCCAGGAGAAAATTTCCAGTAGACATTATAAAGACGGATAGACGGACACAACTAAATAGATTCGGGAATTGGCTACGAATCAAGAATGTACAAACTTTGTGGGGTCTCTTAAGATTTCTTCTGAAACATTTTGATGAAATGAATACATAACTCATCCTTCAGTGCAAAAACTCAGTTCAAATGGACCAATTTCTGTCCGACAAAAAATCGGATTAGTTCACCTTTATTTGATACGTTCGCCACTCATTGTAATAACAGAATGAACTTTAAGCCTTAACCCGTATAAGATTTCATTCATTCAGGTATACAATACCTATGACATTGCTAATATATTAAAGCTTGCATATGTCTACAAGAATCTTACTGTGATAAAAAACTGATTCAAGAACATTTCAAAGGATACTAAAGACATTCGATCAATATGATAAAACAAAGACTTAAAATGACGAAGCAACTGGTCTTCTCGTCTCTTCTGCTTACTTCAGCTAAGAAAATCTCAAAATTTCCGAAAAAAATATCGAAATAATAATTATTTCTATATCCATCGCCGAAGGATAAAGGATATATTCATTTCATCAAAATGCTTGCAATACCCAGAAGGAAATTTCGGAGTCCCCATAAAGTATATAAATGATCAGCTTAAAATGCTGAATCGATTTAAACATGTCCGTCCGTTTTAAATAATCATTGTCTTGGACACAACAGTACAGCTATCGACGTCAAATGTGGCAAGAACAGTGGAAGTTCTTACACATCGATTTTTGTTGAATGCAAGACAAATCGTTCGAAGGGCCTGTCCATTAAAGCACATAAGCTGAAAGCAACTCCGTTTTTCAAAAAAAAAAATCCGCCTGAGTAGCCGAAGGGGAGGAATCTCGACTAGCAAGTCAATGGTCGTGGGTTCGAATCTCAAGTGCGGTAGAGTTTTTAATAAAAAGCCGATAGCCTTAGATGCTAGTGCTTTTAAGAGTTTTAGTCTTAGAATTTATTTCTCTGGCGAAATTAATAATAATAATAATAATAATTTCAAAAAAAAAAAAAAAATTAATTTTTTGTTCATTATTCACAAACTACAGCAGATAAACTTGTAAATTTTTAAAAGTATATTCTATAAGCGATGCTATAGTACCTTTGCAATATTTGAAAAAACCGGCAACGCCCACTTTTTTCATAATTTTTCATTAACTTTCAAAAACCTCACAAAGTATGTATTCTTGACCACTGTTAAATTAGAAATGCACTTAAACATGTCAGCCCGTCCACTCAACTGTGCATTATTCCGTTCGCAAAAATGAAGACATCGTCTTCGCATTTGCAAAGAGAGTTTAAAAATGGCCCAGACCAGCCGAAGGACGCGCCTATAACGCAACAATGCACTTTTGCTTCCCGCATTTTTGCTTATTAGTCATAAACTACAATAGGCACACGATATAAGTATCCAGCTTTATTCCACAACAGTAGGAAAAATTAGACACACCCACCCGGTAATATAGAGTACTGAAATACAATTTATTCTTGGTGTTGGTTTGGGATAACCGCTGGTGACTATAAAAGATTCGGTCACAGCCGAATATAATTTTCTTATTTGTTCCCAATGTTTTAGCTACATCTTAAGCTATCTAAAATTTGTATGAAAAAAATCGGCGCAATTTTGTTTCTTAAATCAATTTTTTGAAAAAATTTGACGCTCGTCAGACATTAAACCAGATTTTCAGAAAATATTTGCTGTACTACTCACACATGTAGGCAAAAAACTGTGACCTTTAGCGTTACGATAAGACATATCACGCAAAGAAAACAAGTAAAAACATTACAGTGAGATAGGGCTAACTATTAAATACCCTACACCACCCTACGTTCATACATCGATTTTTCGAATTAAAACGTTATATGGAAAGTGATCGAAAAGATGGTCCGATCCAAACCATTTTCAATGACGTTTGTCGTTGGGCCAAAACATGTCGGTGTCCAAAATTTAGTCAAAATATCTCAAAATTGCGATTTGTAGGTTGAATAAAAGAAAACTAAACGTACAGAGTCACGAGAGCCAAATCTAAGTTGTTTCATCTCAAGGGTCATCTGCATAAAAATATGAAGTAATTTCTGTATGGTCTTCCAAATAAAACCAAATTTCAGAGGATAAGAGATTTATGGAATATGATTAATTGAAACGTGCTTGTCAAAAGTAAGAAGCGCGATATGTGCATACACATAAGATGAACATCAACTGCGAACACTTATGTTTTGACATTTTTTGCTGATTAAGTCATAAACTACAGCAGATTTTAGTCTATATGTACATTAGTACAAAAATGGAAAAAAATCCGTCACATACCCATAGAGGATTACAACTTCGTTTGTGGTTTCTTTTAAGAAAATGCGATTATTTTAAGAAAAAGTTGGCGGGTATAAAAGATTCAGCCATAGCTGAACGTAATTTTCTTACCTTTGTTTTTTCAGGATTTAATTTTTTGTTAGCTAAAAGGTATATTTATTTTGGTGAAACCTTTGTAATATTCAGAAGAGAGCTCCAGAGATCATACCAGTTAAGGTCAAATTCTAAATCGTTCTATGTATGTCTGCCCTTCCGTCTGCGTTCAACATTCTCCTGATCGCAAAAAGGAAGGTATCGGCTTCAAATTTGGTAAAAACTTAGGGGCACCATTGAAGCAGCAGTAGTGTGGAATAGCAACTAACTCAGTTAAAAGACACGCGTATACTACAACAGAAACTAAGCATATTTGTAAAAAAAAAAATTTTGAAATTTTTTGTTCATTACTCATACAGCAATAAATCTTTTCCCATAGATAATAGATTTTCCCATATAAGTTATCCTGAGAAGCTGAATAGGTAAGAGTCACGACTGCCAAGTTCATTTTCACGGGTTTAAATCTTAAGTAAAGTAAAGTTTTCTTTGGTCGAAGCTATAGTGAGTGTGGTCACTCAATAAATCCATAACATACACTGCTAAGCTGCTGCCAGCACCTGCCAATTGCTTTTTCTTTTCTCTCTTCTTTCTGACTGACACCGTTTAAGCGAACAGGGGACATCGCTTGAGTGATTGATCAACATGTTAGCAGTGGTCTTTCCTGTCGTAACTGATATCTTCAATTTCAAGTGGAACGCTTACAAACACTACTCTCTTTCTTACGCGGCCTTTGAATCGTGTTGATTACTAAGACAAATGCAAAGAAAAGAAAGTAAAATATACAACGACCAAGATTTTCAGAGATGAGTATAAAAATTTAAGACCAAAGTTTGGTTCATGTACATATAACATATCCAAATTAACTTCGGTCTTTATGCGTTGATTAAGACTGACATTTTAGCACGTCTTGGACATTCTTTTGAAGCACATTTGGCAAATGGAAGGCACTCTTTTATTGGGTTTGAAAAGCTTACTTGAAACCTTACCATTTCATATAGTAAATAAAGCATCAATTGTTCCTATTCTAATAAGGAAGGTACGTTACCCAACAGGAAGTCTGTAACAAATATATACTTATAGTCTCAGAAACCTTCAGACGGTGACATATCGTGTTTGATAACATTAAATACACAGTTTTAGTTATTTGACAACATTGACTTGCGTATGTCTTGTGACTAAATAAAACAGCAACAGAGAATCTGAAAACAATTAAAAACACCGTCGTGGCGCATGGCTCATCATTGAATACCCTATACCATTTAGTTTAATGCAGTTAGTCACATAATGCTTTCTCAAAATAAGGCCTCATATTGGAAGTTTCCGAAGACAAAAAAACAGACGGACAGGTGGACGGACGGACAAGCTTAGACCAATTCAAAAACTGACTTTGAATTGATCCTTACGCTTATTGATTTTGCTTACATCCGCACAAATTGAATATACCACACGTTTTGTAAAGTGTAAAAGCATTTAAACAGTGTCCGTTCCTGCGCTAAAAGGCGTCAGTGTGCTTAATTTCATTAAAATCTCAAAATTGCCACTTGTGCATTGAACACAAAGATACAAGACAGACAGACAGATAGACGCGCTCAGATCGGAAGATGACTGTGTCTGAAGTGGTTCTTGGTGTTGTATATGTTCGCAAAAATTTAACATATTGTTCTGACACCATTTGCGTATGTAGGGTATTAAAAAAGTTTGGTTATCAGGGAGAATGCGCTGCCTTGCCTCACATGAAGTGCTTAT